GTGTGGTTAGTCATTTTTGCAGCAATTTTTCATGCACTGTCTCATAAATACACAGAAGTAAGCGTAAAACCTATTTTCCCTATAATAAAAAAAATCTATAATAAAACCACCATATATGTTAGAGGTTGAATTTTTGTGTGTGTAATATTAGTGTTTAATTTTTACCTAAGTTTACATTTAACACTCTCCAAATATTCTAATATTTAATTCAACATTCTCCAAATATTTCTCCATCCTTTCACATTGAATTTTATTGCTCCCGTTTCCCCATTCCCTTAACTCTCCAATCCTGTTGCAAATACATTTTCCTTCAACTTCTGATGGACATCAAATTAATGGATACCTGTTAAAACCAAATCTAAAAAAAAATTACTCGGTTGTTTGTGCTATTATTTTTATTTTAACTTTTTAAAAAAATGTTTTATTTGAATAAATGATAACAAACAAGTTGAAAATTTATGTAGTGAAAAATGTGAAGTTAAAACAGATGTGAGTAGTGTTGTTGATAAAAAGGAAAAACCTCAGACAAGGTTCCCAATGTGCCTGTGTGCTTGCTTTGGTTACCCCACAGGCAAGAAAGTAAGCCTTCCAGAGTCAGAAGCCTTTCAACAAACACTTCCTGACAATCATCAGACTCCTTTATATTACTGGGAATCAGATATGGATGACCGCTTAGTCTATGCCCTGAAGATGGCCAAAGTAAAAAAACTTGTTTATCCAAATGACCCTGTGATAGTCATTACAGGCTGGAAGAGTGGCACAGACAACACAAATACTATTAGATTGGTATATTGTCCCCATGATGATGGATGCCAGAACATTCAAATACCAAAACTTGATATTTATTTAAATTAAGATGTTTAGCTTTAGAAAAAAGTTTTAAGTTGAAAATGTTTTAACATTCAGTTTATCAACATTTTTTGAAATACTGCTTTTGAAAGAGTTAAATTAAATGTTGAAGGCAAATTTTAAATTGTTTCTTATGAAGGTCTATCTTAATAGAATTGAATAAGTAAACAAAATTTATGAAAATATGACACCTAGTTCACTTTTTACAACTATATATTTTAGTTATCTTATTGGTTCTTTTGATATGCTTTGTATATTTGTTAAGAAATTATGTAAAATATCAGTAATTTTATTTCTACACAAAAATAATTTACATTTGTATTTACAAATATGTATATATGTTTATATACTTCATATTACACATAGGTAATAAAATTTGAGAAAAAATTAAAGGACAGTTTTGAAGTTGGTGTGTCACAATTTCCATGTACATTTCTATTGTAGCATGTCAATAAGTATTTATGGCTACTTTTTAAGTGTTGGTTTATGTATAATCGTGTTTAGTTCACATTGGTTTGAATTTTTAATGGTTCACAGACTTTGATTTAAATGCATTTTATTCTATTATAATAATTATAAATATTGAAACTTATCTTACGGTTGAACCTTTTGCTTTTGATTATACATATTTTAATATTTAACTGGTTTAATTAAAAAGAATTCCATTATTATTCTGTTAGATTGATTTTTAACTTGGACTAAATAATGTTAGTTTAATCTGATACACGATGTAGTTTAGTGAATATTTTGTTGTGTGCATAAACCTAAAAAAAATCTTTTCCTTTGAAGCTTGAAATCAGTTAATGCTTATTTTTTTTTGACAACTAAACAAACAAATAATTGTTTAATGATATATAGCCATAAAAATACTTTAATGCAAAGAAACACCATTAAATTGGATGTTTTTATAGCTATAGTTTAATATTTTATTACTTATGCACAGTTTTAAAAAAAATTTCATTTGCATTCAAGGCCTTTTTTTTCTTCTCTCAGCACCTAAGATGAATGAGTGGACAGCAGATGTTGATAGGCGTATTTGGAAAGCTATAAGCCTGGGATTAGAGAGAGGGCTCATTAAAGAACAAGACCCTGTAAGTGTAATTTTGTAGATCAAATGACCCACTCTACCACACACAAATATAAATAAACCAGGAGTGATCTCCCCTAAACTTTCTCGAATATTCTAAAATAACACTGTTTGATGGCAACTCAGAATATAGACATGATTTTTGTTTACTTAAACTTTTAAAAAAAGAATAAAATCTAGTAGAAAAAAGAATTGCCCACCAAACGAACGCCAAAACAAAATGTGCATAATAGTGCGCAATATTATTAGTACTTTATAAATTTACATGCGTTTTTTTTTTTTTTGAGAAATCGGAAATAGCGTAAATTAGTACTTCCGGTCAACGGAAATTACTCAAAATTTAACAGAAGGTAGAGAATTAGATCTTTTACTTACATGTGAAATTTCATTTTTCTATCTGAAATATTACTCAAGTTATAGGCTTTTGAAAAATTCAAAGTAGAAAAAGTACCACTTCCGGTTATCGGAAATTGCTCAAAAGTTGATCAGGATCTACGATTTTGATAAAATACTTATATATGAAATTTCATCAACCTAGCTGTAACAGTACTCAAGTTATCGAGTTTACACACACACACAGCCACACAGACATAAGGACAAGATTGCAAAATTATGTTTTTCTGTATCAGTGAGGTGTAAAACATCGAGATTTTTATAAAAATCTTGATTTTTATTTTTTATTTTTTTTTTGCGCGATTACAAGACTTTCTCTATACTTCGTATATACGAGAAAGTTAAAAAGAAGTGCATTGCTAATAAATGTAACTTTAGAAAGTGATCCATTTCTTCAGTTTCTTGTAGATCATCCTACCTGTGCCTAATTCTTTTTTTAAACTGTTTCTTGACTTAAATAATATCAAACTATCATTTTAACCTCTTAATAATGTATTAATGAAAATGGATCACCTAAAATATGTTTATTTTTTTTATTTCGACTATTTTCTATTTTTCTCTGAGAATCAAACCTTTTCTTTTGTAAAATCAGTTAGATGTTATCTTTTTTACTAGTCACTCATTGAAAGGTGGCTGGTCACCATTAATATACTGGTAAATTTTTTTAAACATCTAAATTTAAAAATTACTCACAAATTACATTTAACATCTGGTAATAAAATTCTGATAATAGCCCTATAGTGTTATAATATTTTTCTCTTAGTTATCTATTATCTGAGCTTTAAAACATTTTTACTTCCTGTAAAACTAAGCAAACTGAAAATGTGTTTTGATTCAAAATACTTTTTTTAAAAATTATTTTAAAATTGCAACATATTTAAATTTTAAAAAAAGGCTATGTTCATAAAAATATGAGGTTTGAATAGCTTAATAAATTACAAATAATAAATACAAATTATATCAATGTTTTTTACTTTCTCGTATATGCAAAAAAAAAAATCGAGATTTGTAAAAATCTCGATGTTTTACACCTCACTGATACGGAAAAACATAACTTTGCAATCTTGTCTGTCTGTGTGTGTGTCCGTGTGTAAACATGATAACTTGAGTACTGTTACAGCTAGATTGATGAAATTTCATATATAAGTGTTTTATCAAAATCGTAGATCCTGATCAACTTTTGAGCGATTTCCGATAACCGGAAGTGGTACTTTTTCTACTTTGAATTTTTCAAAAGCCTATAACTTGAGTAATATTTCAGATAGAAAAATGAAATTTCACATGTAAGTAAAAGATCTAATTCTCTACCTTCTGTTAAATTTTGAGTAATTTCCGTTGACCGGAAGTAGTAATTTACGCTACTTCCGATTTCTCAAAAAACTAATGTAAATTTATAAAGTACTAATAATATTGCGCACTATTATGCACTTTTTTTTATTTGGCGTTCACTTAGTGTGCAACTAATTTGTCTACGAGATTTTATTCTATTTTTAAAACTTTAAATATTTAAAATGGATTAAAAATCATGTCTATAGCCCGAGTTCCCATCCCCTGTTATTTTGTATAAGAACATTCGAGAAAGTTTAGGGGAGATCACTCCCGGTTTATTTAAAATAGATTAACAATTTTTTTTAAATCAAGTTCTGAAATAAAGCGTGTGATCTCCCCTGAACCTATATATTCTTATGACAGTAGAGAGGATGGCACTTTTTTTTTTTATTTTATTTTTTTTTTAAACCTTACCTTTTATATTTCCAATAGAATTGCACATAAAGTAACCGCAAATTAATGGTGTATAATAGAATGGAGAATTAGTAGGCATACTTTATAAAAGGAAACACTGAATAACCTATTTGAGGAATCAGAAAGAACTTAAACTACTACTTTCTGACACCAGAAATTTGACAATATTAAGAGAACAACACCTTATATAGCTTTGTATAAAATGTGTTCTAACTAACTGAAACTATGTAACCAGAAATAAAGTCCCACTTCCTATTATCTGAGGTCACTCAAAAATTGGAAGTAATCAGATTATAAGATGTTATTTTTGTTTATAAAAATTTCATTTTCCTAACAGAAACTGTATAAAGTTTAGTGTTCTCACAATAATACAGTATAATACAATTTCCTGTTACAGAAAATTGTTCAAAAGTTTATATAAATCTGTGCATACAATTTAGTGAAATACTTATATGTAAAATTTCATCCACCCAAATTAAAGGGTACTCGAGTTATTGGCTTTTGATGAACCGTAAGTAAAGTAAGTACCACTTCTGGTTACTGGGAATCCCCCTTAAGTGGAGCTACAAATTTGATAGAATACTTGTATATGAAATTTCATTAACATAACAATTACAATACTTCCTCTATAGCCTACTATGTATACAAGAAAGTAAAAATTCACCTTTATCAATGTGTTGGCTAGGGGTCGGCATGGTCGAGTAGGTAAAGCTCATGGTTGCTAAACCGAAAAGTCTCGAGTTCGAACCCTCGGGCAGATGAGGCTCGTTAGCTGGGGACAGCCACTCTTCTAGGAGAGACAACTCCAAAATCAAAACAACTGCTGCCTTGTAGTTTGTTCATGGTTGGACAAAGGCTATGGAAGCAAATCCAGAAAGAAAAGCAGGCTGAAATCGGAGTCAATGGCCTCAATGGCGCATAACCAGTTGACACGTAACGCTTAATTGTGTTGGAGGCGTGGTCGAGTCGGCAAAAAGCTCATGGTTGATAAATTCGAACAAAGTCTCGAGAACAAACCCACTGGCAGATAAATCTCGATCCCCTTCAACACTAATAATTAAGAACGAAGAAGAAGAAGAAGAATGTGTTGGCTTTCTTTCTCTAGACTATTAAACTGTATTATTTACTATACAAGTCTTATTCATTATCAGAGACATGTTCTGACATTACTTATTATTTTTCCTGTTCATAGTTTCTCTTTAAAGAAAGATCTGCAACTATAAGTTAAATTATAAACTAAACGCTAATCGCTGACAATACACACAAAAATATGCAAAACAATCTTTTTTTTTTTTGTTTCCACTGGTCTCTTTGAAATCAAGTCACAAGTGAGACTTGAGTTACAATGCAGAAACAAAGCTTCTAGACATAATTGAGCTCACATGTTTCTTTAGTGTTACAGTTATGTCTAAGAGTAGATTAGAATGAAGGTGGCTATAATTTATTATTTTACAATTTTTCAGGTGGTAATATTGACAGGATGGAAACCTGGCTCAGGAGCAACTAACACAATGAGAATCATTGCTGCACACAATGAAATGGACAAGGAGCTTTTACCACCAATAGTAGGAATGAGCTCTGTTCCATCTTTCAGTAGATCAAAAGATATGACAGAAGAATTTTCTGCTATCTCGATTGCTTCAGAAGATAGTGGAGATGTTAAATTTTTCTAAATTATTATAGAATAATTTATCAAATTTCTGTTTGTAACAGACTTTTGTTGGTTCTCAAACCCACTCTTAAAGCATGGTGTATTGTCTTTTTAAATGTCTGCTTTAAAATACAAGTTTCCCACCTCATATTTAGGTTTTTTACATCATGATAATAGTTTTTGGGACAAAGTAGCAACCTTTTCACTTAGTTGGGCAAATGTAAAATAATGCCCTATTAATTACAGGTATAGAAAAGGTAGATAATTAGTTGTTTTTTTTTTGTCAGCTTTAAGTTTAAGCTTTAATTAATGCATTAACTAATAAAATCATGGGTATTTATAATAATAAAGATACCAATATAGTAAACTAATTGGTTTTTCTTTTCAAATTTAGATTTACAAGATCTGATTAAAGATATTTTAAAATCATTTCATCTTGTTATAAAGTTACGTTGACTACATTTTTTACCAGAATATTTTCTTCTTAAATTTTAACTAAAAAGTAGTTGGCAATTGTTATTTCATTTTTTAGTTCTAATTAATTTTTGTATGAAACTAAAATATATAAAACTAATGTGTATAAAAATACTTTAAAATTTAGCCTTGTTTATTAAAGTGCTTCATAAATTAACCATGGCTATTTACTGTCACTTTCTGCAAACTGATCTTCCGTTGTGAAATTACATTCTACAATAAAACAGAAAAGCCGATTGTATGTAATACTGCTATAATTATCATTTTTTAAACCATATTTATTTATCTGCATAAGCCTGAGCACTAAGTACTAATAAATCATAAACACCAGGTGGACAAATACTCAATTGTAAATTTTCTAATGATAATGACAAACTTACTAATGCTTTTATAGCAGGACATTGCAGAAATCAATTCAGGAGTACTTTGTAGTGATATAACACGTCAAATTTTTTACTCAGCTTAAGTAACACCAATTATGATTTTCATCTGTAATTTTTCCAACCATTCCTGTAATTTTTTTTATTATCTAACACTAATTTAACTAGAAATCAAATGTATATGTAGGTTTGATAATCATTTTTATATTAATTAGATGGGATGTAGAAGTCTTTTTTTTTTCCCACAATACACTAGTTGGTTACTTTTGCATGGGAGTTTGTTGTGGAAACCAATAACCTAGGGCTAATGCCTAGGATTTTAATTTAGCTCTTTATTACAAACATTTTTTTAATAAGTCTGCTTTTAAAACCTAACTGTATATTAACATGTACTATGATTTGCAATGTCCTATTATTTTATGTAGTGTACCTTTCAACTGCATATAAAAATATAACTAGAGTAAGTCTTACTGCGTTTCTGATACCTGTAGTTGTATAATCATGATATTGATAATACTAGTTAAAACAGATTGCTACATGTAAACAATATGAATTTGTGTACTGCATTTTAAAATGTATTTTCTGCTCTTTTCAGTAAAATTTCAAGATTTTTGGTATTAATGTATTTTATTTTGTGTATTTTTAAGTTCATACTTATATAATGTAGTTTTCTTTTTCAATACCAGAAACATGTGCAACTGAAAATTAGCAATAAAAAAAAATTATTCCCCTTTGCATATTTTGCATGCAGTTTCCAGTAGTGCATTTTTCTAGTCAATCATTGTTTCACCACCTACACAGGTGTTGAGTCAAACTGAAATTAATCTTTTTGGAAAATGCACATTGAATTATTAAAATTCAATATTTTTTAATGCATCTAATCATTGTGATAACATTAATAAATGAAAGCAGAATTATTGAAATTATTGTATTTTTACAAGCTTTTATTTAAGTGGTGTGGATTGAAACGGGTGATCAAAATTTAGACCACTTCTAACCAACCAATTTCTCTTAACTTGGCATGTGGGTCAAGATCCGATGACATGCAATTTGACATTGAATTTGACTTAATTGGGTGCCTAATTAATTTTCAATGAATTAATTAAAATTTCCTATATAAAGTACTATTTCCCACGCTATTGCACAATTTTTCCTATTCATTTGGTGCACAATTGTTTTTAGTCCTGTAACTATTGTAATGTTTTTAAAAATTCATAAGTAGGGCCTACTGAAAAAAGTACTCAGTAAAAAAAAAAGTAATCAATAATTTAGTATTTCTCCATATACTGACAATTTATCTTGTTATTATAATTATAACACACACACGTAAAAATATAAAAAACGTACACACTTGTAGGCTTTTGTATAATTTGCTTGATCGAATGTTAAGCAGATTTGTAAATTTCCAATTTAGTTTCACTCCAATCCGTTTCAGTGGATGGTGTATTTGGTGTCACCCCTTCTAACTTTTTGTCGAATGTCGTCAGTTTCGTGCAAACATTATATTAATCCTCCTAGAAAAAGCATGTAGTGAATTATAAAATTTTGTGTCACCTCCCACCCCAGACGTGAATTTGACGTACAAGTTATTACAGTTCTCTACAAAACCTTTTTCCTCGGGCAAATTTTGCATCGTTGCGTTTGCATGTGCCTATGTGTATACATGGACAGAAATATTTTATTCCAAGGTCTGTATATTTTTATAGAATAATAAACAGAATCATACATTGCTTAGGTTTTCCGATTATAGGAGCTTTTCGACCAAAGGCCCACACTTTGACCTCATACAGGTGTTGTCCACAGGCATTTTGTTCTCTTCGGGTGTTGATCAGGTAATTTGACCATTGGTGATTAGCATAATTAAGCCTGCACATATGTGTCGGCCTTCCCCGCCCTGGAGAATTTTATTCTCCCCTGCTAAAATTAAAGTGCCCAACCCCCGGAAAAGTCTGAAAGAAACAGTCTGCGTGACTGAGATTTATCGGCCAAAGTAGGAAACGTCTATATTTTAGAAGTAAGCTCTACCTTTAGTCTGTATGATCTACTAATGCGACCAGTGTTTCTTTCAGACTTTTTCTTCGCCGGAGGGGGTACTTGAAATTTTCGGGGGTGGGGATGGACTAAATTTTCTGGGAGGGAGCGGTCATTGGTAAAAGTATATATTTTCTACGTAAATTCTATTTCGTTGAATGGGACCGAAGACGTGCTGTGCTCCCCCCCCCCCCCCCGAGTCGACTGAAATAAACTCTAAATGTGACTTTTGACATGTTTGAGATTAGGTGCAAAGCAAGGTTTAGGGGTATGGCTACGACTATATTTAGTATCAACTAGACTACCCGTCATCCCTTGGATAACTGTGGGTTTCGGGGGTCATCTATAAAAACATCACGTCTGTCACTTATCGTAAAAAAAAACCAGACCCCACATTAAAAAAGACGTCACACCTCAGACGTTTTTGTCTTTTAAAAACACCGATTTCGACTGAGCATGGGTCTGACAACAAAATTTCTTCAGATGCGGAGGTCACAAAAACAGGTCAACTCTACTTCACCTGCCCAGTATCCTCCCAGCTCAGTCATGTTTTTGTCTTAGAAAACACAGATTTCGGCTGAGCATGGGTCTGCCTACACCAGTGGTTCCCAACCTTTTTCGAGTGGCGACCCCCTTTTATAAAAATTAAGTGACCCGCGACCCCCATAGAATTAAAAAGCCGAAATTAGTATGGAAATTAATAAACACTAAAATAAGATTTTCTAGTTGACTTTCAATATGAACTACTCTAGGTAACTGTTTTAATACCATGAGTAAAATTGCATACTATTCACTAAACATTCGCGGTTAATTTTTTTTAAAGTATTTTTTTTTTGTTAACGCCAACCTATGTCATTATCATTATCGTAATTTTGTTTTTAATCGAAAAGTCAATCAATTTTACGTATGGATATAAATGGTTAATACTACACCAAAATTGTGTCTGAAGTTTTTCATCTTACGCGGAATCATTCTACAAATCAAAGAATTCATCTTGTAATTCATCCGGAATGCTGGCAACATCAAGGGAAGAAGAGAATGGATAATGCGTCAATGCAGCTTCTTTTTTTTTTCAGCTCAGAGAAATAGCGCTGCAGTTCGTTTTCAATAGATTCAAGATGCCCAGCAATTTCTTCTTTCAAAGTTTTAATTATCTCACAATTAGATTCATCTACCACACTGCAGAGTTTCTCAAATTTACAATATTTCAAAGATTTATTTTCTTCGCCGTTTTTGCAGCTTTGATAAAATTGCCCCGAGATTATCATGGAAAGTGATAATATTCGTTCATTTTCTCTGAAGCTTCAGGTTATGCTTATGTTGATGTTCGAACACAACTGCTAGGTATGTATACTCTCTCCAACCACTCTATGTCGTTTTAAGTATACCAAAAGGTCTTGTTTCCTTTGCATTTCCAAGAACAATTTGATTTCAGATTTCAAATCAAAAACACGATTCACAACAATTCGTTTGACAGCCAGCGCACTGTAGTGTAGAAGAGCAGAACCGCGTATTCTTTATTCAGGTCTTTGCTCAGTTATTTGAAAGCTCCAGATTTTATATAATTTACCACTTATACCAGCAATGGAGTCTTGATGGCGATTGGTGAGGGTAGTGGTTAGGGAGCGAAATCTTTTCTGCTTTCTGAAAGCCCGATTTTGACCTAAACATAGATGGTGCACCATCCGTACAAACCCTCACAGCCGTTTTAACCCATTTTAATCATCCAATTTTTGAAAAAAAAGGCATTTATTTTCTCCATGCTATCTTCACAAAAGAGCAACTCTTCTTTGCTATCATCTGAATAAATATAGACAAAGACCAGCAACTGCGAACACGAACTCACGTCTGTTGATTTATCAACTTGAAAAGCAAACAATGGTGAAAGCTTAATTTCTATAAAAATGTGTTATTTAACATCTACGGACATGTAAGAATTAACTTCACCATCTTCAACATGCAGCGTTTGATGAGATTTTCTCCTATTGTGTTTTTGTTTTTGCTTGGCATTTTCTGTCGCGACTTCATGTGATGCTTGCACTAATGCTGTGTTTCCTTGGTGAAAACTTCCTGTTCGATCAAGTCTCTGACGTTTGCAACTAGCTTCATACCGACGAAAGAACTCCTTATCTTTTTTTGTGTGTTTCGAATGACTCGTGTCAAATGACGTTTTAGTTTTGAAGATTTCATAAACTCGTGACTGAGAACAACTTGGTACTGTACGCTTTGCTTCTTCTCTATTCCCTTTCCAGTGATGTTAGTAAAGCCGAATTTCAAAAATTCTTCTAAATATTTATGTTTTGTTTCAAATTACTAAGGTTTAGTATACCAGTTGGCGACCCCCCAGAAAGCCCTTCGCGACCCCCAGGGGGGTCGCGACCCCCAGGTTGGGAACCCGTGGCCTACACTATCTCTTCATATGCTGACGTCACAAGTGAACTTTACACCTACCCAACTCAACTTTAACTGCACATTGTTCCACCAAGTCTCAGATAACATGTTTTATCGTTTTAAAAAAAAAGATTCTGATAGGCAACTTTATCATTCACATCTAAAAAAAAAAAAATTGAAATATTTAACATTGACATGATGTGTCTAGAACCCGTGCCACCCGTATGGAAGCCTATTACACTAACACCTTAGATATCTAGGCTCGTGACGTCATTGCCGTTTTTTTGTACTCTATATTAATGGTTTGAGTCTGCTTAAGAAACTTGTCCCGCCAAGTCTCAGACATGTTTTTATTGTTTAAAAAAACTGATTTCGGACGAGCATGGGTCTGACCACACCATCGCTTCATATGCTGAGGACACTGAAACAGGTGAAGCCCTGTGTCCCGCTAAGTCCCGATAGGCAACCAGTGGCGGAACTAAAAAAGGGCCACCCCGCAAAAAAAATGTTTAGGCCCCCCATATATATATATATTATATATATTATTATATATTATATATATATATATATATATATATATATATATATATATATATATATATATATATATATATATATATATATATATATATATATATATATATATATATATATATATATATATATATATATATATAGGCCTATATATGTATATATCAGTGGTTCCCAACCTTTTTCGAATGGCGACCCCCTTTTATAAAAAATAAGTGACCCGCGACCCCCATAGAATTAAAAAGCCGAAATTAGTATGGACATTAATAAGCACTAAAATAAGATTTTCTGGTAGACTTTCAATATGAACTACTTTTGATAACTATTTTAATAGCATGAGTAAAATTGCATACTATTCACTAAACCTCCGTGGTTAGGTTTTTAATTTTTTTAAAAATTTGTTAACGCCAACCTATGCCATTATTAATATCTTAATTTTGTTTTTAATCGAAGAATAGTGTTGAAAATATATTCTCGAAAAGTCAATCAATTTTACGTTTGGGTATGAATGGTGAATACTACACCAAAATTGTGTCTGCAGTTTTTCATCTTACTCGGAATCATTATGCAAATCAAAGAATTCATCTTGTAATTCATCGGGAATGCTGGCAACATCAAGGGAAGAAGAGAATGAGTAATGCGTAAATGCAGATTCTTCTTTTTTCAGCTCAGAGAAATAGCGATGCAGTTCGTTTTCAAGAGATTCAAGATGCCCAGATATTGCTTCTTTCAAAATTTTAATTATCTCACAATCAGATTCACATACCGCACCGCAGAGTTTCTCAATTTTACAATATTTCCAAGATTTATTTTCTTTACCGATTTTGCAGCTTTGATAAAAATGTCCCGAGATTATCATGGAAAGTTATAATATTCGTTCATTTTCCCTGAAGCTTCAAGTTAAGCTTATCTTGATGTTCGAACACATCTGCAAGGTATGATACTATCTCCAACCACTCTATGTCGTTTT